TTCTCCTGATTTATTTATTAACATCTGTCTTCGATATCACCGATCCTTTCCTCCATTTGGTCTACTCTATTTTCCAAGCTTGTTATTTCTTTTTTCATCTCTTTCAGTGTGTTCTTCATCTCCAGAAGTTCTATTTGGTTCTTTTTGAGAGTTTCAGTCTCCTTGCTAAAGAACTCATCTGCTCATCTAGTTGTTCTTTCAGATCCTGAAATTGTTGATATGAGTCATATTGGATCTCACTGAGTATTTTCGGTGGTTCCATTCTGAATTCTCTGTCATTTAAGTCGCATATTTCTATGTCTTTAAGCTTATATCCAGAGATTTTTCTCTTTCTTTCTTAGCTGCCTTGTCACCTTGGTTGATCATGGTGTTTAATGGACTATCTCTCTGCCTGGGCATTAATAGAAGTGTATTCTGCTTTTTTTCCAGAAAGATTTATTATATAAAAGTCTCTCTTTAGCATGTTGTAATGAAGCACTTTTCTTTTGGTTTCCAGTAGGTGGCGTCTAAGCCTCTTGGATAATGCCCTTTTTTCTTTTTTTAACAGATATTCAATCACTCTTGCTACCCTTAGTCTCGTCCCTGTCAGTGTTAGCGACAATTTCGGTAACTTTTCCTCAGATTTTCCTGGGTCTTCACTGTGTTTGGTCTCAGAGGATATGGGGGAAGGGTTCTTCTGGGTTGGGGAATAGAGGCTATAACTCAGCCTTGGTTTTGCAACCATGGCTCATAAAAATCAACTGTTGTTAGTCTCCATCTCTCTTCTCTGCTTTCTGCCCTGATGACTGGGCCCTGCCACCAGTTGCGTGGAACTCAGGCAGCGCTGTACAGGGAAGTCACCACAACTTCCTCCCTCCCTTCCTCCTGCAGGGAGCTCCAGAGGCTGCAAGCGGCAGCTTCTTTATTTCTCCCAGTCCACCACCCGACACCCAGGGTTCTGACCTGTGGTAGTTCTTATGCGCAGATCCCATGCTCAGATGTGCTGGTGTGCAGTTTGGGTGTTTTTTGTTGAGTTTTAGATGTTCAGCTTATTGTTGTTTTATGGAGAGAGATCTGGGTACATCTCTTACTCCACCATGTTTCTGACATCCTCATTACTTTGATTTATTCATTTCAATTATTCTTAACAAAGTTACTTCTTAGTAGTTGTATGCTTGAAAACTGTTTTGTTGCCCATCTTAAACATTAGCTTTTGGAATAATTGTCTTTAGGCATTATAAAGTAATTTCCCACTGAATGAAATTGTCTGAGTTTTTTTTCCCCTTACCTTGCTAGTAGGAGTACAGACAAAAGGTCAGGTAGGATATTCTTATTTGGGCCTTAGAAACATCATTGAAGAATGCTTTCATTTTTTCCCTCAATATTCCTTTTTTAAAATTTATTATTTTTTATTTAAGTATTGTTGGTATTCAATATTATTAGTTTCAAGGAGACAATATAGTGATTCTACATTTATATACCTTACAAGGTAATCACCACACAAAGTCTAGTAATCATCTTTCACCATGTATACTTATCACAGTTTTATTGACTATATTCTCCTTCACCCATCCCACAGCCCACCTCCCCTCTGGCAACAAATCATTTTGATTTCCATTTTCTCTGAGTCTGTTTTTGTTTTTGTTTTGGTGTGTGTATTTGCTTTGTATATTTAGATTCCACTTATAAGTGAAATCATATGGTATTTGTGCCTCTGTCTGACTCATTTTCCTTAGCATAATATCCTCTATGTCCATCCATGTTGTTTCACTTGCCAATTTGTTTTGTCTTTACTGAAATATAATAAATAATCAATTGCTTGTATTTATATTGTACAATTCAGTGATTTTTTATTTCAATTATAGTTGACATAAAATAATATACCATTTTCAGTTGTATAGCATGAGATCAGGAATCCACATAACTCGCAAAGTTATCTAAATCTAGTACTAAATTTAGTACCCCTCTCCCCTCTTACATATTTAGTACATTATTAACCATCTTCCCATGCTATGCTCTACATCTCCATGTCTATTCTGCAACTATTCATTTGTACCTCTTAATCTCTTTGCATTTTTTTGTCCCCCCCATTCCCCTCCCATCTAGTAACCCAATAAATATGCTCTGTATATATGCTCTGTATCTATGAGTTTATTTCCTCTTTTGTTGTCGATGTGTTGATTTTGTCTTTGGATGCCACATGTACATGAAATCCTGCGATATTTGTCTTTCTCTATCTGACCCATTTCATGCAGCTTCAGCATATGTAGGGGTCTTGTTTTCTTATCCATTCAGCCACTCTATCTTTTGATTGGAGCACTTAATTCTTTTCCATTTGAGGTACTTGTTGATAGGAATATAATTATTACCATTCTTTATTCATGGTTTTGATATATGTTTTTTCTTCTTAAAGAAGTCCCTATGACCATTTCCTGTAATACTGGCTTGGTGCTGATAAATTCCTTTAGCTTATTTTTGTCTGGGAAGCTGTTTGTCTGCCCTTCAACTCTAAATGATAGCTTTGCTGGATAAAGAATTCTTGGTTGTAGATCCTGGGTTTTCATCCCTTTGAATATTTTGTGCGAAGCCCTTTTGTCCTGCATAGTTTCTTTTGAGAAATCAGCTGCCAATCTTATGGGTGCTCCCTTGTAGGTAACTAACTATTTTTCTCTCACTGCTTTTAAGATTCTCTCTTTATATTTAACCTTTGGCATTTTAATTATCATGTGTCTTGGTGTGAGCCTCTTTCAATTCCTGGTTTTGAGGACTCTCTTAGCTTCTGGGGTTGTATGTCTATTTCCTTTACCAGGTTAGGGAAGTTTTCCATCATTATTTTTTCAAATAGCTTGTCAACATCTTGTTTTTTTTCTTTCAGCACCCCTATGACATGAATATTTTTACATTTAATAGTGTCCTATAGGCTCTTTAAATTATTACTATAGTCTTGGCTTCTTTTTTCTTACCATTCTGATTGAGTGTCCTTGGCTTTCCCATCCTCTATATAGGTCATTTGATCTTCTTATTTCCTCTGTTTATTCCATTTAACATACTTCTCATCTCAGATAATGTATTCTACATTTCTGATTGGTTCTCTTTTATAATTTCCATTTCTATTTTTATGTTTTTTTTTATCTCTTTGTTAAAGTTCTCACTGAATTCATCTACATTTCCACTACGTTCAGTGAGCATCTTTATAACCAGTGTTTTGAACTCTGTATCTGATAGATCTCTGTTCTGTTCTTTCATATGTTTTCTGCTTATTTGTCTTCCCATTTTGGCTGCATTTCTGTGTCTGTTTCTATGTACTAAGCAAAGCTTCTAAGTCTCCCGGTCTTATTAGTGCAGCTTTGTGTAGTAGGTGTCCAGTGGCACAGTTGTGAGAGGGGTCAGCTGCAGGCTAAACTTAGCCCAAGTCTCTACCCCTCCGGAGCCATCTGTTAAGATTTAGCAAGCACCCACAGATGCTGTGCTTCTAGTTGCCTTAAGAGGCCACGCCAGAAACCGAGGTCAGCTGCCATCAGTGTGAATCTAGTTGCTGCTCAGCAAGGGGTACCTTACTAAGGGAGGACAAACCTGGATGTGGCTTGGGAGGGGCTGTGAGTTGAGGAGGTGGAGTTTCAGGGAATCCTTTGAGCAGAGCGACCTCTGTCATCCAGTTTGATGACTTCTCTGCTATGGCTGTGCTGAGTCCGTGCACTGGGAGCAGGGAGGGCTCAATGGAGGAATAGTAGGTACCACCAGCACTTCTGTACAGAGCGAGTCTTGCCTCAGCCCTCACTCTGACAACTCCGTGTCCCTGTGTAAATCCCTGGTGCCCCCTGCGCAGCTGAATGTGTGCTGGTGCTCAGAGTGAGCAGGTCCATCACAGGGAATGCCCACTTGTGGACACAGCCCCTTTAAGAGGTTTGCAGCCTACCACAGCCTCTGTCCCACTCAGCCACTGGGGACCAGGCAGCCTCGTGCTCTCACCTTGTCCTACCTTCTGCTGTTACAAGATGATATCTTAGTTCCTCTCTAGTTGTATGGCTTGTTCATCTAGATCCTAGGCAATTTTTCTGTTGTGTGCTCCTTGTTTCTATCAGAACTTTGATTTGGTTGCCAGAGGGATAAACAGTTCCTCTATTTTCTACGCCATTTTTTTCTCCTCCAGAATGGAATGCTTTCATTTTTGCTGCTACTCTCATCATACCACTATTTACAATTTCCTGTGATAAAGTTCATAAATTTAACTCCCATAAAAAAATCAAGGATTTTAGGTAGAGGAACTCAATGAAGCCTGTAAAAGTTCCTATATTTGACTTTAGTTTCTATATGTTCTCTTAAACTGTTGGTTTAATTTTGTTCACATTCAGTAAAAGTTCTTACTTATGAATTTTAAATTCTTTTGTTAAACAAGACTTTTGTATGCATACACAAACATACACAACATTCCTTAGCTCAGCAAGTTATAAAGCAATACTAATTTAGCCTTAATCTCATGATATCACTTTTCACTGCATCTTTATATTTTTTATATTTGTGATGCCACACTGGCATCAAGTGGGAACAAACTGTACAGCCTGTCATGGCACATACTCTCATAGATCTTTCCATCAGATAAAGTCTACTCATATTAATAAACTAAAATTCCTCCTAAAATCTCTTGGATTTTAATGGAAAACTACACTCTCTTCTCCAATTTGCAAATAAATCAATTGGAAGTTGTAAAATCAGAAGCAGAAGGAATTTTTAAACTTCTTTATATTTTAACATCTACATGATGTAATTCAATAGAAAGGATTTAGTTTGCTTAATCAGTTCCTTCATTGCAGATTTCATACAAATGAGAAATATAAACACGCATAGTTATATATCAGTTTAAATTTTTCGTAATTTTATAGGTGTTCAGCAGATGAATCCCCCTAAGAAACTCCTTATTGTTGGATTCTATTTCATAAGGACCAAGAGAACCCCATCAAAGCTAATTCAAGTTTAACAGTGCTTAACTCATGAGCTCCATGTGCCTTTTGGATCTTTACAATGTTGAAGATTTTGAAGAAGCTATTCAAGTATTTTGTGATGGTGTTTATCATTTTATATTTTTAGAAGTTTATTTTGTAATGAATAACTTTTAATACTATAATTTCATCTGTATTCTAGTAAATGTTGAGATACAGTTTTGCTTTTAAGTATCATTAATACTTAAGTTACGAGGATGAATACCTTTCATGTTTTCACTTTTAGTTAACTGTACACTGATGAAACATACAGGTCTTTCAAAGTTATCTTAAATACTCAACTTTTGTAAATCATCAAGCCTCATGAAACTTTTTTTTAAACACAAGCATATTCTAAAAAACGACTATTGGTGAGGAGGTGGAAACAAGTCATGCCTTACTTAAAACAGAAGTTTTTAATAAGCTCTTAAAAATGAAACCTAGAAAAGTATCGACTCTTCTACCAAGGTGGTATAATATTCCAGGCAGCTCAATGACAATCATATTTGAGACCTCTGTGTTTGTAGTGTTTATAGGCAACATGTAACAATAGCAGTACCTCTTGGTATACAGTATTTGCCTTCTCTTTTAGAAGAGGCAATTAACCCTTATTTAACATGGTTGGGAATTTAAAACAATACCAATTAGCCAATGTATTTTTTATAGTTTTTTGTTTCTTTGTTTTTGTTTTTGTTTTATGGTAATACTCTAGGAATTAGTCAGATTTTATTTTTAAAATCTTCAACTCAAATGACATATTATATGCTTGGATTTGGGGAGCTTAAAAAAAGCTGATCATCACGTAATTAAATATCTGATCAACAGGTATAAATATAACACACCAATGTACTTTTGCCATGGTAGTAAAATGTCTACAAACTATTTATACATTTTGGTCTTCATAATTATCCAGTACATAAACATCATTTTTTTTCATTTTTGAATTTAAATAGGCATTTACTAATTCATATAGAAACAGCCATAGTACAGGATGGTTTCTGTCCATACAAAGGTAAGTTAGACTGTACAGTTAATTTTCAGTTTTATTTATGGTACTGTTATGTGGGTAATACCTTTTTCTTTTAAGCCTTCTCTGTGTGTATATGTATATAAATATGGATATATATTTATATATGTGTATATGTATATATACACATATATAAATATAAATATATACACACACATATATAAATGCCTGCCTAAGCTCTTAACCGTAGTTATAGAATTTTAAATTAATTAGTTTTGATGTTTTATTTAGAACTGTACAATTTGGTTTTTGCACAAAAGTCATTTTTTAAAAATCTGAATAATTGCCAAATATTGGAAGAAAGATGTTCTTTAAGTAAAGAATACAATTTTTAGTCAAAGTGGCCATTTTTTCCCTTTTTTGTAATAATACAGACACTTGAGTAAGTTGCTGTTATGTCATATGCCAAGAAGATTTTTTTCATTGGTGCCTATACTGTAACAATTACTTTTAATACATCATATTTTGAAGTAATGGTTCAGTTAAAATTTTCACCTGCTATGTAACTGAAATCAATTGTAGTTAATAATCTATATAGAGGTCAGGAAATAATTTTGCAACTCATATCATGAAGTAAATGAATATTTTTATAAGAGTAAAAGCAACAAATTTATAAATTGATTATTTGAAACTTTACAACACAACTGCATCATGAATAGAAATTGTATTGCTTATTCATTATAGTTTTAGTCCTATAAACTGTTTTGAGGTGAAGCATACTCCAATGTTTCAGAGGTAGGGGTGGAAGATAAAAATAAATATTTAAATTCCATGGTCCTCAGTGTTTGTTTTCTTGAAGAATATATGATGTGACATTTAAATTGTTTCAAGTTATCTCTCCTTTGCCCGTTAATTTATTGTTGGAACTTTAATACCAATATTTCCATTGTAAACTAAAAGATATTCTTCATATTTTATTTTATTAGGCATTGATTATAGCTACAGTGAACATTATATCCTGATGTCTGCCTCCTCTCCTGATAAAATGATTAATAGAGTCCTCTTTCACTGAAAAATGCCCTAGATTGGATAATTAATTGTACATTCAGCCTGATTATAGTTTTATTAGGAAATCTTATAAAAATTTGAAACCTATAGTTCTCTGAGGAAAACAAATTTTACAAAGAATTCTAGGAATTGAGATGAGAAACAGCAGATAAGCCTGAACGAATTTGAGCTTTTCCTAGGGAAAAGGTCAAAGATGAACTTAATATAGTTTTGAGGATCTATAGGATGGATATATAGGTGATTGAGCTTCAATATATTGTTATTATTAAATAGCTATTCTAAACTTGTGAGTTACTGGATATGATTCCAGGAGCAGGAAAGAAAGTGCTAGAATGTGGGAAAGGAGTAGAAAGAAAGATGTGTATTAAAAAGGATTTTTCTGATGTAAAGACTGGGAGAGTAAGGAAACTACTCCAATTCATCTTTTCTCCATTGCCATATATAAAAATAGCATGCTTATATAATTACATCATTTCTTTGAAGTTAATACCAACATTATCTTGTAAATGTGTTGTAGTTAACATTAAAATCAATAAACAAAATGACATTCTTAAACAGTATACTATACTTTCCAGGAGGAATAGTAGAGAAATTCTGAATGAGTCAAGAATAGAATTTTGTTTATTAACTCAGTCTGGTTTTAGTACTATTCTTTTTCTTTTCAGCTACCCCAATTCTACCACTTCTCCATCTCTGACTATATATATATTTTCACCTGCTTCTCTCCTTTTTCTTGCTCTCTTAACTGTCCCTTCCCTTAGTAACAGGCTAGAACCAATAATTTCTGAAACTGATGAAAACAAAAGGAAGCTCATACTTACAACTTTTTTTAAATAAATGGATTTCCATCACCCTTTATTGAAATATTATTAATCTCGTTTCCTTGCCTACATACATGCAAAAAGATATAGCAAAAAATATATAGCAAACAAGATAGATAGATAGATAGATAGATAGATAGATAGATAGATAGATAGATAGATAGATAGATAGATGATAGATAGATAGATAGATATAAACAAGATATAGCAAAAATTCCTTGCAGGAGATTAGATAAACAAACCAACATGTTAGCTTTTATCTTTCGCTACATACAATAGATAGTTAAGAATAGAGAAGTAATAAGTCAAACATTATAATATCCTCAATAGGCATATATTTGGCTTTAGAAATTGATTAATTCATGAATTTCTAAAGTTTAGAATTCTTCCAAGTCCTAGATGAATAATAAACTTGTGTTCTGTTGAGAGAATCTATGCTACTATCTTGTTCCTGAGTTATAGGAGGGCCATGTTCCCCCTAACATAGAAATTGTTATAAAAATTGAAGTCCTGCAAATTAAAACCACAATGAGATATCACCTCACACCTGTCAAAATTGCTATCATCAATAAATTAAAAAACAAATGTTGGCGAGAATATGTAGAAAGGGAACCCTCATACACTGTTGGTGGGATTGCAAATTGGTACAAGCACTATGGAAAAATCTGGAGGTTGCTCAAAAAAATTAAAAATAGATCTACCTTTTGACTCAACAATTGCACTTTGGGGTATTTATCCAAAGAAAACTAAAACACCAATTAGTAAAGACCTATGTACCCCTATGTTCACAGCAGTGCTATTCACCATAGCCAAGATATGGAAGCAACCTAAATGCCCATCAACAGACAATTGGATAAAGAAGTTATAGTACATATATACAATGGAATATTACTCAGCAATAAAAAAAAATGAAATCCTACCATTTGTAACAACATGGATGGATCTAGAAGTTATTATGCTGAGTGAAATAAGTCAGTGAAAGACAAATACCATATGATTTCACTTATATGTGGAATCTAAGGAATAAAAAGAACAAACTAATCAAAAACAGACTCACAAATACAGAGGACAACCTGGTGATTGCCAGAGTGGAGGGGGGTTGTGGGGCTGGGAAAAAGAGGTGAAAGGTTAAAGAAGTAAAAAGTAGTTGGTGAGAGATGGTCATGGGGATGGAGAGTATGGCATAGGGAATGCAGTCAGCAGTAATGTAATGGCTAGGTGGAGAGCTGGATGGCTGATAGAGTAATCGGGGTGATCAGTTCATAAACTATATAAATATCTAACCAATCTACTATATACTTCAAACTAATAATTTAAAAAATTGAAGTCCTTAACATAATAGGACCATTTTTAGTGGGCCCCACACAGATAATGAGGACTGAAACCTTTATTCATAGTATTGTTTGAGAACAAAATGACCAACACAGAATCTACCAAATCACTAAATGACATCAGAAGCCAATTCTATATGCTAATCCATACTGTCACCATTCTTCAGTGATAAGGAGCCTGACCTTTATTTATAATGTCTCTATGGTGAAATGTGTAATGGAGATGACAAATAATCCCTCGCCCTGCCACAGTGCTAGTATGTTCCAGAGTCCTTTCAGAGGGAATAGAAGAGTAGAGCTTGAGGAACAAGGCAGCAGTTGGATCTTTTATAAGGTAGGTGCCTAAACATAGAAGATTCTATTAATACCAGTGAACGGGAACTAAGAAAATGGTTTATGCAGAAGGTTCTTTCTTTTTACCTAAGTTAGTAACAGAACTGGCCCAGAAACGTTCATAGAGTTTATACTTTTAAGCTAAAAAGTAATTACACGGTTTTAGCAAAGTCTTGTCTTCAGCAGTTAGTGTATTGAAAGAAATATTTTCATCTTCTTCATCTAACTGTAGACTACCAGAAGACAAGCGAATTCTGGCCCTGGGCAACCTCATTCCTTTGCCATACAAAGAGTAATAGTCTGATTTAAGAATCTCTGATTCAGAATCACTAGATTCACTAGCTACATACCTTTCTGCTGCTCGCTGATCCATTAGAACTGTTGGAAACTCCTGCTCAGCAAACATATGTGTAAACAGGTCAGCTTTACGACTCAGAGCAGGACAAGGCCCTAAAGGTCTAAATTCTGACCCAAAAGGAAAACGTATAGTTTTCATGTCTGATTGGCTCTGGGACCGTTTAGGGGTTTGTTCTTGAATGTCACATGCAAATGCATCCTCTAAATTCAGATCTTCTTCTAGATCTACATCGATGTTGCTCCTACCACTAGTCCTGGCCATACCTTCTTGGAGTTCTTGAAAACCTTGCTGAAAGCTCTTCATTCTGATATTTCTTGGGCTTCTTTTTGCTGGCTTCATTGCAGTGGGCTCCAGACAACTGTCTGGCCTTTCCCTCTCCTCTGCCATGATTGGAGATTGTCTGGGTATCTGGGGTGGTTTGTCCACATAAAAAAAGATTTGAGGAGGCATAATATCAACCTGCTGACCAGTACAAGGAATATAGGGCACATCTGTATATGTTAGCTGCCTTGCTGGGCTCACTTTTCTTGTAAGGCCAGAAGATGCACTCATGTGATTATCAGCAAACTTACAGCTTGTTTGGAAGGAGCTTAGAGTACTTCTTTCCTCAAAGTAGTCTCTGGGATCAGTATCTGGATCAAGGTCAGTGATAAAGACAGGGTCAATATAAATAAAAGGGAAAGAAGAACTGCTTTGGGACTGATGTAATGATGTGGGATCTGCCTCTGGTTTGGAACACTCCAGCTCAGTTGCAAATGTCACCTCCACTGCAGAGTTTCTCCTTCTACTGTCTAGCACAGGCTCAGATGCATGCACTCCATTCACATTTCGATAGTATCCACTGCCATATGCTAGTCTCAATTCTTCCACCTTGAGAGAAAAGACATGTTGGTAAAAGAAGGAAAACGCCATTTGGTTGGGGTGGGGTCAGGTGTCTAAATTAGTTTTGAGTTTTGCAAAAGTGGTTTTTCACGAAGTTATTTCAATCCATGTTCTATTCTTGATAAATATATACAGAAAGGGTAGTAACTTGTACCACATCTGAATTCATGTGCAAAAAATACACATGACACTATCCTTTCTCTGTGCCATCCCACTTTCAGCCTCCGAGTTCTCTATGTAGTTCAGTCGGCATTGTAACACAAGCAGTATGGTTTACTAGCTATATCAATGAGCCAAGAGTTCTGACTTCTGGCCCTGGCTCTGCCTTTGACATGCTGTGGGACCTTAGGCAAGTCTCCTAACCTCCCTGTTCCAGTCTTCTCCCTATTTTCTATAAAATGGTAAGGAGGAGGGCTATGAATGGCATGAGAGGAACATATATTAGATGATACCTTCTACCATTATACCTTTGTGAAAGCTTTCAGATAAAAGCTGCCTGTGACTGGAATGAAGGCATGAGAGTTTATGAGCCCTATAATTAATGTTTTTAGTGAGAGCAAAAGAAAAATAATTAACATGGTCCATACTATAAAATTCAAATGAAGCCATCATCTCACAGTTCCAGGAGAATAGCACTTTGTTCTTAAATTAAGTTACAAAATTACACAGCAAAAGTACTTTAAAACCTTAACTAACACCTTATAGTTTCCTTTAAGCCTTAAGATTTTTATTGGTTAAAAGCAGAGCTTTTATTTTTAAAAATACAAATCTATAGAAATTCATTTGACTCTGCATTTTGCAAGATGTTAAAATTACAGGTTGTAATTTAAAGATGTGCCAGATATTTCCGATCTATAAGGTACACCAGCGGTAGTGTACTAAATGGTCTATTGGCTGGAAAGACTGAGCTGACCGAACACCCCAAGAGGCTAACCTATTCAAACATAGTAATCTTTATACACACTGGGAGATTCTGGCACAATCAATAAAAAGCATTTAAATTTCAAAAGCATTTAAAATTATGCATTACACTTATCTGAAAAAAGGTATTTCAGAAACTTACTTGTTTCGACACATCAGAGAGGAGGTCTGGTGATGACCTGCACTGTCGTTCATGGTATTGAGATGGATAATGTTTCCTGAAATTCCCAAATGGAGAAAGAATTGAAATGGTTCTTAAGCGAATCCAGGATACATATAAATCTCTAAATTCAACTTAAAATCAATATGAGAAAGAGAGAGAAACAAACCATGTACCTTTCAAATGGTAAGCTCTTCAACCTCTCTTTGTTCCCATATTCTAAAAGTTGCCTTTGGGTTCTTCCACTATTAAAAGAACAAGATAAACATTTTATTACTGCTAGTCATAAGCCAGTAGGCTACCAAAACCCAACAGTCTCATTCATTGTTGAAATCCAAAGTCTGGATGAATGGCATATATCATGACTCTTTGACCATCACATTAATGATAATACTCACTTACCCAAACATCAGGCATAGAACAACAACTACTCAGAACCCAGAAAATTTTTAAAAGCCTCTAAACAGGACTATGTAGCAGTTAAAAATTCTGGCCTTGAAAACTAATATACTTTATAGGCATTTTCCCTACTTCCAAATTTATACACAATTTTTAATAAGGCTACATATCTGGTTTCCCGATCCATGATGGAAGAAAAACAGATAACTCAACAGTAGAAGAGGGTTGTTCTAGTCAGACATACACTAGCAAAGAAAGTCAGCTGACTGCTGGGAGAAAAGAGCACCCCCCCCCAAAAAAAAAAAAGAAATCACAAGTATAATAAAACCCAAAATGTCTGGACCATTTATCACTGAGGTGCAGGCTCTGACATGCCTTTCCCACCCTGAGGCCATCACTGTACTACAGCTTCCTTCAGAAGTGATATTTAGAATTACTGAGGTCATTAAGTATCATCTGTTTAAGAAGGCATGGAATTATAGAATAC